GGTGTGCTTTGTTTCTCAACTATTCTTTCCGGGAATATTAACTGGAATGTATCTTGGCTTTGGTAGAAGATTAGGAATCCAGCGTAAACACGGAAAGGACCATGCTTTAACTATGCTACCTGTCAACCTGTTTATATCTACGTATTGGTCAACGCTTTTTCAAAAGTTTGGGTCAAACCCAAAATGAACTACCGAAAATGTAACCATCGGAGAATAAGTGCAGCCTGACTGAAGATTTTCAAGTTCAAGTCAAGTCGGTAGTAGCTTCATGCACCCGGATGGGTTTATCTTCAGTAATTACACCATATTTATTGATTCAAATTTACAAAATCATTATATAATGAAACTGAAAGCAATGGGTTGTGTTTGTCAATGAAGCAAGCGGTTGGGCAATTCTGTGGACATTTTGTCCTTGTCTACTAAGTAGACGTGCTAGATATGGCAGAACAGAATTACGATAAGCAGAAGTACGTGCAAATAAAAGTTTAAATCTCGAGCGTGTGGATGATGTAGATACAGCTTTTGAAAATTCGTTGTGTAATGGGTGGTGAGTGTCTGAGAGTATTTTATTAATTGTGTAATCCAATGAATCTTTTTTAAGGAGACTGTCTGTTTATAATTTGATAAAGAAATTGATTATCTAAAAATTTATCAAATCTCAGTTTTAGTTTTTAGATCAACTCGTTTTGAACCATCTAAGATCGCCAAGAAGAAGATGAATGCGGAGCAGTGAAATATATCTCGAAATATATCCCAATCGCAAAAGCGAAGAAATTCCTAGTTCACTTTAGGCTAATCGTCGGGTCGCAAGCTCGAATATCGTATCGATCACCATTGTGTACAATCGATCTAAACATATCGGTTGTCTGATTTTCAACAGACAGCCAGACTGAGACAAACGAGAATTTGCGACTTTGCCGCCTATAACTCTTTTGTACGGCGAATTTCTTCTGCTTACATACAAATTAATTGTGAACTGAAAATCAAAAATGTGCTGTACAACTGTTCCCATCTGTTTGGGCCTCATTAGTAGTGCGAATCTGTCGACCCAACCAGGGGTCGAACGCAGAACCTCACAGATTGGATGCGAACCTACTACCCATAAACCACTGGTCAGCTGATCACACCGAGTTTCACTTTCCTATGCACGATATAGTACAACACATCTTTACAAGTTTGGTGCAGGCGCCACACCTCTCTCCTTGCAACACCAGCCTTCCGGATTATGACCCAGTTAGAAATATTTTTAACCCGACTAAATAAATCTTTGTAGTTTACATTTTTCTGCAACACTGTGAAAAACGGGGATGTTTTGTAATTAGTTGTGGTTAGCAGTGGTAACTTAAGCCACAGCCGTGTTTCCGACCGTCATAGTATGGCCGTGCAAACGGGGAAACGTTAATCGCGGTTGACCTCGACGGTGAGCGGTGTGAGGAGTAACATGTTTGATCTCCAATCGATCGATAATCTCTGTCTGACTGACGAGCCGGTCCAGATGGGTGAACGACGATCTAGGTTGTCCTTACTGGACCCTTGATGAAATTGGACAAGTCACTCAGCAAAGGTCATCATTAAAACTACGGCAAGGATCGAACGAGCTCCTACTTGTGCTTGAGCGTTGCACTGATACTTCGTGAATCATGTGACGAGGTTAATCAGTCACTAAGGTCATGACTAATAATGGCGGTCCAGAAAGGATAAATCCTCAGGTTTCAGTGGGCAACAGAAACGACATAAATGAGTGCACGAATGAATATCTACACTTTTTTCATCATAGAAGTGCGAATAGGCGGAATAGGGAAAAGAAGTCAATGTACTGCGCATGAGAGATATTTCAGTTGTTGGAGCAATACTGATACGGTATATGGGTTAGAAAAAAGTTTCTCAATGAATGTTAAGCAGCGTTGTGATAAATTGACGATTGAAACTGAAAAAGGGCTGGATACCGAGTGCATCACTCTAATAAAAGACTGAGAACATCACAAAATACTACAATTTATTTGATACATCAAACAAACAACGGAAGTCAAGTACTTTTGAAAGTCCTGTTTATTTTTTCATAAATATCTTAAGTAATTTTTCATACGATTATGCGTGTGCACGTTTGACTAAAATGATCCCTCTGCAGCTTTTGCAATTAAGCTACATTTTTCAAATACCGATTGGGTGTGACCTAACAGGAGCCTGACTATAGTACGTGGACTGAGATTATCGTGTCTCCCTGTTGTGATAGAGCTTGATGTGGTTAGGATTTTTGGGCAAAACATCACTGGGTTTTGTTGATCGGGGAAATGTCTAGGTTTGCCAGTCCCTTTGGGGGATAAAGAAACCATCTGGAATTCACTCAGACAAGATGCAGGTGTCAGTTAAAAACAGCTCGGCATAGCATACTCGCTCGGCATTATGC